ATACATCGAAAAAAGAAAACAGCATATCGGAATAACTAACCTTTCCAACTGTAAATAAACATGAACAATCGGGACGAGACCAACACAGGACATGGCCACTTACCACTGTAGAAGAAGTACCCAAGGATCACGATGGCCAACAAGAAAACGGGGCCGCCCACATAGATTATAGTCACAAATGTCACTATAGAAGAAAGTGTATACGCGATGGTTCGCCCAAAGTTGTCAGACAAATTGCTGTCGATGCCTGGATAATAATACTCAGTGCCGGACAACACGACATGTACAAATGCTGCTCTCACCCTCGAAATCCTTGCCAAAGCGGTTCAGGACGCGTCCACGCGACACGGTATCGTGAAACCGGATATGAGCGAAAAGGACGGCCTCAAGAAGACCTATATATGTTTTTTTTATTGTCTTGACTGCAAACAGCAGATCCATATTCACTTACGTTTGTGAAGAACGTGGGAAGCACGGATAGCACCATCATCTAGAGAGACCATATAAGACACAATGATATAGAGCATCGCAGAAAAAAACTTACACAACACGAACCAACGGACGTTAGCAATGACAATTTGGCCAGTAACAGTGATCTTTTCGGACATATATAATCAAACAAACGTACTGAATTCGATAAGGAGAAACACATACCAGCGCGTAGACACCTATGTAATACATCGGACTTCCCGACTGTTCACCGGTAAGTTGAGAATTCGACCAATACCTTTTTGAGGTGTTTGGTCAGATCTATGAAGCTCACGCAAGTACTAGAAGTGACAAACCTGAGCCAACCGTTCTCCGCAACGGGACTGAGCGCTGCCAAAAGGAGAATGAACGCGAACAATATCCAATACCAAAACCGTCCACAGGCAGTAACATAAGTTTCCCATATATCGCGACTGATGTGCCCGACAGCACGCTTCTCGTCCTCGACGAGCTTACGTGGAGGCTTCCTCGCCTTGGCAGGAGTAGCCGCAACAGTCGCTGAACTGCCTGCAGAACTGGAGGCCGAGTCCGTTTTCAGAGGAACATCGGCCTCTTCGATGACTTTCTCTTCTTTCTCGTCTTCTTTAGCGGTCTCAACGGACTGCACGAGACCCCCCATGACACCCGATGACTGGAAACCGTCGCGGGCGCCACTGTACAGCAGACGCCCATTGTCCAAGGCCACGATGTAAGCGGCACCCGGTGTGCAGAGCTGCACATGATGCGACACCAGGAGGACTGTGCGGCCCTTCATGATGTCTCCCTGGAGGCATTGGTGATATAGATGATAAGCGGTATGCGCATCGACTTCACCACATCCTGAGTATCTTATTACCACTAAGGTGGGGTGTCGACTCACCAGCAGACAGTACATCGTCTAGCAGAAGAACGGAAGCGCGGGAATAGACAGCACGGGCCAACGAGACTAAGACGGACGGACCGGACGCGTCAACAATTAGTCACGGACAAATGGAGATTGCGACAGAACGTACCTCGCGCCTTTTGGCCTCCCGACAGATTGACCTGACTTCCGAGTCAGTAACACGTAAGACAACCGAATAACTGTCATTACCCCGCGTTCGCCAATTTCAGATTCATCTCCGTCTTCCAAAATTTCTAGATCGCTCAACAGAGCGCAGACCTGCGGTGATAATGTGAAAAAAAAAAGTGATTTCGACAAAGGAAAGAAGCAAACTATACCTCTAGAGTCTTGTGGTAACGCTCTTCGTCATAAGGTAAGTCGAATAAAATGTTCTCTGATAACGGTTTTCAATACCTTGGCAAATACAATTGTTGTGCGAATCCTACCTTTGATAGACGCGTTCCTGAGCCACGCGGCCTTGGACGAGTTCACTTTTCATGGCATGAAAAATGACATCGGAAGCACATACCTGCGGTACATATGCACAAACACCTTTGACAACCCAGTCCGCGGGCTTTGGAGCACCGCCCTCGGCGAACGACGCAAGGACATCAGGTGGCGAGCGTGGGCACACGAGTTGGCCGGTCAAGACATCTGCTTCGCCCATTAATGCTAACCCGATTGTCAGCAACGTGCACAATCAGGAAATGACAGCCAACGAACCTAGCAAAAGTAGCGTTTTACCGGCACCAAGCTTTCCGCAAATTAGCGAGAGCTCGCCCTCGGGGAACTGCAACGACAAGTCCTGGAGGACAAATTTGTGGCGCGGCGTTCCTGCGAGTGACGGCGCAGAGCTGGAGCCGGAGCGGTCTTGGGGCCATGTAATAGTACATGACCGCAGCGCAATCGTCTGCTCCTGCTGCGCGAGCGCAGGGACAGCCTTCACCTCGGCACCGTTGAGATACTTCTCGATACGTTTGAGAGAAACCAGACTCTGGAGCATATTGATGAACGTCTCTGGCAACGCATTGAGCGCGAAGCGCATCTCATTAAACACGAGTATCTGTACGAAACATCAATCAGGAAAGGGCAAAGTCAATGTTTCCAATATTAGAAAGGAAAAAAAAAAAACAGGAAGGCGATACACGCACCGACGTGAATGCCACGGACGGCGTGAGCGGTTGACCACGGTAGATCGCGAAATGCCAGAAAGACATGAGCGTCACGATGATAGGTGACCCATTCCAAATGGTATTGAAGAGGACCTCGATTAGGTAGTTGAGTCGTTGATACTTGAGCTCTTTTTCACGAATTTTCAGCACCCGTTTCTCGAAGCTACGTTCCCAGGCCATAAACTGATCCAGGTTGGTTAGTAGTAATAATGGAGCCCTTGATACGAGACTACCTTGATCATACGAATCCCGCCAAGAATCTGGAACATTGTTAGTGGAGTCATGATACTCATTACAGCACCAACACACCTCGTTCATCAGAGCGACACGCTCGTCGCGGGACTTCATAAGGTTGTCCTGCGCCCCGACGACTACCGATCCCGCAAAATGGTTGACGGGCAAGAATAATATCGTGGTGGCGAGACCAACAAAGCACGACGATCCTACAACATAATCGGATAACATACAGTACTGGCAAAAGTGGTCCATTCACTCACCGAGCAAACTGTACAAAAACCAGGTGCCAATGATGATTTCGATGGGAGAATCTTGGATGGAGATCAGCAAAAACACTTGGAGAGCTTGGCAAACAAATGACATACCAATAAGTGCGAATAGATGCCAGGCAAACTCGCTGACGCGATCGACGTCAACAGTCATGAGCGTCATGATTTGTGCTTTGGACGAGAAGTCGCCTTCATTGGCCTCGTCTTTCTTAACGCTCTCCTCCACGGCAGGCTTCTTCCTGTCGGCATCCGCACTAGAGCTCGCGGCAGCACTACCAGCAATGTCTTTTCGGACAAGTGTCTTCTGGAAAAGTACGGAATTAAGCTGAATTTTGACGCGGACCTGTACAATAGTCGTCGCGATGGACCACAACTGGCCAGTAAGAAGATACATGCTCGCGTTCGACACAAAGAGACCAACGCAGAATACAAGGCCCCAACGAATATCCTTGCGTTCGGGGTCGCGCTCGAGATAGGCAACCAACGAACGCGTGAAGAATGCAGGGATATAGTACAGCACGGCGCATACAACTGCAATAGCGATCTCCAGCAAGAGAGGGGGGGCGTTCACGCGCATCAGCTGGCCAATGAGCATCCAGCCAGACCCAGTGAACATGCCTCGGGCGCGCGCAATGGCACGTTTCATCTTCGTATAATTGACCGTTGCGCGCATGCTCGCAGGCAGGATGGGCAGGTCAGCGATCTCGAGGCTCGTGGCGATGTTGCCGAGCCAGACGACTTTCGTCGTGTACGAGAACAACAGCGTATCCCAGATCGAACATACCGTGATACCTGCCACGTTGACTTGGTCAATATTAGCAGCCGCTGCGATTGTCTTTGCGAAATAAATGGCCTCAGGCGGATAGTGCAGATCTGGGCCCAGGGGCATCGTCAGCGTCATGATGGCGGCGACCGCGTTTGTGGCCAGTGGAAGATACCCCAACACAGACAATGCAGGGACAGATGTCGCGGCGGGGGCTGGAGCAGTGGGTGGCGGCAGTATCGCAACGATGGCCAGAAGAAATGTAGCCAGTGTGGTAAGCGACGCGAGATGAAACATGGACTGCGTGTGTTCAGGCATCGCGATTTGCTTCACAGCGCGAACGGAGAGCAGAAAGACGTAGACACTGAACACGACGTGCAGAATCTGAACGGGGTCCGCTTTGCCTGAGACTAGGGCACTCCATGTCAAACTGACGGTTCCAATGGAGACGCTGGCTGCAAGTACAATTGCTATGAGCAATTTTTTGAAGCGTGTCTATAGATGGGGAAAAAGTGTGTCGTGGGCATGAACTATTAGCGATTGTAGGAACGTACACGTCTCCAGAACGCATCTGGGTTTATGGGAAAGCCGTCGACAAGATCCAGCGGCTTGGTGACATTAAAAGGATCGTGCTTGGTATTCTGAGGGCCCTTGACTTGGTTTTCTGACTTGCGGCAGCTTGAAAGGAAGACAGTAGCGCTGATACAGGCAGCTGCGACAAGAGCAATGGCGAACGAGAGTTCAAGGGCAAGCATGACCGACTAGCTTGCCAATTCCAAACTGACCGCAGAGGAAGTACTCCCCCACAAACGAATACGGGGGTTATTACTCTTGAGGAAGTGTTATTATTAATGGCGTCAGATAACCCACTAGTGGCGACCTTATCTGGCGGGAGCACGAGGTTTGCTGGTGACCGGTGATAAGCAAGTGTGTCCCTTTTCCCAGGATAAATGGTCTATGTGGAAACAACAACACAAAGAATTCTCAACGCAGAACGACGAGGCAACGTTGCAGTGCTTAAGTTATAGCCAGTCTTGTATTGGTCGTGACCGCGAACGTCCATCTAAGGAAGTGAGGATTCTGATGGCCGTAGTCTGCATGAGTCACTTTGCATTCGATGCCTGATCGGACTTTGTGATGTCCGGAAATAGAACTGCGTACATAGCACGGAATCAAACTCAAATATTTTTGTCCTTGCTGCTCAAGGAGGGCGCTTAGCTCAGGGGTAGAGCGCACGCTTCGCATGGAGAAGTACACCATCAAAGGATATTATCCGTGCGTGAGGTCGTGGGTTCAATTCCCACAGCGTCCAAAATAGTATTCTCGTACATTCGTTTTTGCTCGCCGCAGACGGGATGGCTTGAGCTTCGGGCATGCCAAGTAAGTCGACGAAGTCTGGTTCTTGTTTCTTTGAAAATGCTCTTCAGCTCCCTTGTAAGGATATACATTCCAGTCTGCGCGCACAATAAGTAACCATGGTGATGCATGCCGCGATATCAATACCGGTGCGTGTGGCTTGAAGTCGAGCTAGAACTGTCAACGTTAACATGATTTGCTCTCATTGAGTCTCAAGTTCTCAAATTCCTCGATTGCCTCGTAGGCGACCTAAACGCGTCTCGCCCGATACCTGTCAACATTAAATTGATCTTATGGATTCATACAGGCGCCTCTATGCCCGGAAGGACGACTCGAGGCAACAACGCAGCCTGCGATTTGTCGACGTCGCTTCATTGCAGCGGTGGCCGTGAGCTGGCTCCATCTTAATCTTGTATTGTCATCAAGCACGTTCAATGTTCAATGATGCCTTTCCGCGGATTTGTCGTCTGAATTATGCGATCTCAGCGCCCTACCGCCAGCATTAGATCTGATGTTGACGCTCTGCAATGGAAGTGGCGTTAAATGCGGCTCGGTGGCCTATTTCTGGATGCGACATAGCAGCCCGCAACTTTGAGCGGGTGGTACTGACTTAGCACCAGTTCTGCGTGGACATTATATGTAGGCCCTACGGCAAAAATGTTCACGGTCCTCCTCTGCTGTCCGGGCCAGTCCATGGCCGGTTTCTCTGCATTCCCGCCTTCTATAAAGACAGTTTGGTCCTTGGAAGGACGAGCTACCTGCGATACCCCTTCCTTCTCCCTTCGCTCTCGTGACGAATGCTGTCAGCGTTATGCCTTTCGTTAATCCGCCTTCCGAATCCTCTGATAACCCCGCGCTGGTCCTTCATACCACAGACTTCGCTAATCGCTACGGATACGATAATGTGAGTACTTCTGAATTGTTATCGTCTCCAACACAAAAGCCAATACATAAACAGGATCAGCACGGATCTTTCATCCGCCTTCATCATGGAGGCATTAGTGGCCGACTAGCTGCAGACCCAAAAGAGGGTAGCACTGACAGGATTAGTCGCTCACCGGCGTATCTGGGGCACGTCGAGTCTTCTTTGGACTATCACGACGGCCATAGCAGCACCGCGTCCAACACTTCAGGCGGCAACCCTTGGATAGATGACGATGATCTGCTGGCCCATGTCCCCGATATCAATCCGGATGCGACACGTATATCTCCGCGCGTCTCTTCCTCTGTTCTCGACGGTCACAATTTCGACGGTAACAGTCATGACGCACCCCGTCTTCTTGCTCGAGCTGGCAGCCCGTACCCTCTTATCTCAGGCTCCGATTCATTCTTGGACTTGAATCCGCGGCTCCACAGGTCCTTGGTGTCTCCAGCCCTCAAATTCCCCGCGCCGCCAACCACTACTGCTGGACCTTTGTCTCGCAACTATAGCGACGCAGACACCTCTAGCAACTCTCACGTCAATACTCCTACTCTCAAACCCCCGCCATCGCCTTTCGAAGTAACCCGTTTGCGCGACTCGCAGGTCAGGAGCGTAAGTGGTATCTGTTGATCTTGCGAAGACGTTCATTAATTATTCGGGTCTCTAGGAGTGGCTTGATCAACCAAGGCACCCTGTGTGCGCGCTTTCTTGGAATCTGACTCTGTTTCGACGCTCTCTCTCCAACTTGTTTCGCCCTCGCTCTTCGCGTTCGTTGATGAAACAACGACCGTCTCTCAACTCCCTGTGGTACCCCGATGGAAATCGCCCCCATTCTGTTGAGTCTTCCCCTACTAAGCCTGCTCGGAGGGACTACGAGGATCTCCGCGGTTGGCTGGGCAGCGTGCCTGTAGATGCTAGCTCAGATGGCGATTCAGGGCTGGACGGCGAAAGATGGGTTGTGGTGGAACGTCCAGACACGCCGTGCAACGAAGATCCTTATGCGGCGTACAGGAGCGGTCGTTGCGCGTGGTGCCGATCCATGAACAACATTAAAGCATGTTTCCATTGGTGTAGGTCACGTTCCACTCCGACTCAGTCTCACCATCTGAAAGCAGTCAAAGCTGCGCCCACGTCCTCCGGACCTGAGTCATCTCAGGACCTTTCTTCACCTCGAGTCTCATTTGAGATCATGACCATTCCTGCCGTATTGCCAGTCCCAGTAATGGCGTCCACACCGTCGCTCTCCCCTAACCCCTCTAGCACCGCATTCTCACCCTCGCCGATGGATTCACCCCGTCCTTCTTTCCTATCTCCATCAAGTCCCTTAACCCTGTACAATTCATCCGGCTCCCAGGGTGTCGCTGGCCCACCTACTGCACGACCGCATACACCTCCACGGCCCACACGACGGCCATTTTCGCCCTCTCTATACGACGACGGCGCGCTGATCAAGGAGTTGAAGATTCCGCGAGCTATATTCAAAGGAGATCTTAGATCGTCTGCGCATGCAATCCGACCTCCACCTCGCCACTCTTCACTGCCCATGATAAATCAACCTCCTCGCCGTTCTTCACTGCCCGTGGTAAATCAACCTCCTCGCCACTCTTCGTTGCCCGTGGCAAATCTCGGACGGAGCCCTCGCTACAATCAACATAGTTCCTTCTACAGTCATTCATCCCCCGCTCGCAAACCTTCTCGCCTTTAACGTCATCATAGATTTCCAACTCGAAAAACGCTCTTTTTATGGTTTCTATGATATCGCTTGCACTGACTTCCTTTATGCGTCTAGACCGTTCTTTTGTGTATTTTTACGCGAACCTATATGTTTATGCACCTTTTTTTCCAATGGTATTTTCTAATCTGGTTCATCTTGAATTTCCGCAGATTTTCTCCGTTGCTGTTGAACACTACGGTATATCACGAGCTCTCTCGAGCTGCAACCCCCCCCCCCCCCCCCCCATTATTGGCACCCGTACGTCGGACCTGTCTCTGCTGATTATTGTCAAGTTGCAGTGCCTATATCGAGCGCAAGTGAATAGACGATGTACTTCTCATCGATAATTGATTTTGGATTCTATTCCACGGCTTGCTCATCCGCACCTCTAGTCCTCGTGAACGCGCGCCGACAAACACCACAGCATGAGAACTTTCAGCCACTTTGGTATTCCTTCCCTCCATCTTGTTATATATTGCTGCGAGTCTGCTGATGCCCATCTGCTAAGGACCCTACATCTCCCATTCTGCTTACATCCATGGAATCATCTCAGTCAAGGCCGGCGCCTCTCAGAACGCTGCTTGAGCTGCGCGAGTTGCTGGACAAGTCCATCTCAATCATATCGGAAGAGTGGGAAAGGAATGGACCGACTGTCAGAGACTTGGACGACAATACAGTTCCAGCGGACAACAGTACCCTTCCAAATGCCCGCGTTTTCGAGGCGTCGAAGACGGCTGTAGGCGCTGCAGGGATGCTCCAGGTGCTCCTCACGGATTCGATCATGTATCTCATCGATTCTTCCTGTACGCAGGTAAGAAATTCAACTCTACTGGCTGCCGCTATGTCGTTATGATGATAACTGTCTGTTGTTGTTTTTTTTTTTGTAGAATTTGGAAATACACGCTACCAGGGCTGTGATGGCAGCCCGCGTACCGGATATTATCTACGAGCATGGCGTTCCAGGGCAGGGAATGGAAGTCAAGGATATAGCACGCGTTTGCGGTTACGACACAGACAAATGCAGGCGGGTTCTTCACCTCCTCGCGTCGAAACACATTTTCAAGCAGACGGGGCCGGATTCATTCGACAACAATCGTATCAGCACTACGTTGATCCACAATCCTGGGCTCTATACTTTCATGGGCCTCACCTTGTCAGTAAATTCTCGTATCGTGTCGAATCTTATGACCATTTTCTGATCACGTGTCGTGTACATATGCAACAGCTGGCCGCCGACCGCGCCTCAGTTCTTCGTGGAGGGAATGAAGAGTCCTCATAACGACATTCATCATGCGCCAATGACGTTAGCCTTTGAGGGGAAGACACTATGGGATTTCATCGACACCGCGGCGGATAACGGAGTCTTATTCTCACAAACACTCTCCTTGCTTACGCATACGGAGGCTGCAGTTGAGGGCTACGCCTGGAACGAACTGGGGACAGCAAAGATTGTCGACGTTGGAGGAGGATTAGGCACGTGTTGAAATAACCTAACTCTTCTCTGCATACATATCATTAATTCGTTTCATCATTATCATCCCAAAACAGGATTTCTAAGTCTCGCGATTTTAAAACGCTATCCAAAACTTACCCTCGTCCTGCAAGATCGCGGAACGGTCATTCTAGATGCTAAGGAGCATTGGCGTTTGAACTATCCGGCAGCTGTTGATGCTGGACGCGTCGAATTCCAAGCCGCTGACTTTTTCCAGCCTAATCCGACGACGGACGCAGACGCGTATATGCTGCGCCATGTCATGCACGATTGGAACGATGATGTGTGCATCCACATCCTCACCGCGATTAAGAACGTGATGCGTCCAGACGCTAAAGTGCTTGTTGTCGAGAATTTGCGCACGTCACTGTGGGGAGGCGATCCGTCACAGGCCGGTCCTAATACAGGGCTGGTCGCGCCGCGTCCTCTTCCCAGAAATTTCGGCATCGGTGACCGCTATGTCAACGGTCAGGATATGTGGATGTATTGGAAACTGTGCGTTTCTTCCATTTGACGCTTGTCAATCTTTGATTTTTGCTAATTAACATTTGAACGTCTACAGCAATGGCAAAGAGAGAACGACGAAGGAGATGACGAACATCGTTCGTTCTTCGGGCTTGACTGTATTGAAGTTCCATCCTTGTGCTGCTAGGTGTTATTTCGTAGTGGAATGTGGCATAGCTAAACTAACAAAGTTGTAGGCGACGTTGGCCGACTGCTCAATTTGACTCAGGTGTAGCAGTAGTACGTAATATATTTTGCTCGAAGATAAATAAATAAATTGGTCGTCACACTGGATATAAAGATGTGTTGTAAAAGTATAATCTG